TTCTCCTGTGGCACATTTGATAGCACTCTTAACTATAGTGCTATAAAAGCTCAATATTAGTGATCACAGTACCTGAATGTTGAAACAAGCTATTTTTAGAAATGCAGGTTTTATGATAATGATAAAAGTTGTATCGTGTTGTCCTAGCAACCAGAATCCTAAAGCACTGATTAGTGACATGCTGACTGATTCTAGAAATAAGCAGTTCATTTCTTAGCTCAGCACTTTAAATAATTATTTTAAATCCAGTCAATTTTTTTGAAAGAATTTTAAAATTCGAATGCTTTCTTCATGTAGTTCTATATTAATATTTCTTAAGAATTTTGAACTTTATAATGTTGTGATGAAACTGACATTTGTAAGTATCCTTCTGTGAAATTTTGAAGCTAATCTCCTTGGTTCTTTATTCTGTCTTAACTGTAAATTAACCACATACTTACATTATTAGCCATTGTATGATACACTGATAGAGCAGACTGCTTTCTAAATATAAGAATTATTGAAATGTTTCTGAAACTTAGATATAAGGTAAATGAGGTCTGGGAAAATAGCCTGTCTGTTTTGTGTGATAGTCATTGTTAACAAGCCTGACAGGAGTGGTTTACTGAGGAGTTGGCATCTTTGTTTGATTCTCCTTACTATTGATTAAAGGTACTAAACAGCCCTGAAGGTTATGATTGTTCGCATACTGTAGCACAGTAACCTGTTTAGATCTAACTTGTTTTATTCTAACCTTCCTTTTCAAATATCTACAAATGACTAGTTTCTCAAAATATCCTATAAAGATTATCTAGTTCACTACTTTACAATGGCAAATTGGTCCTGGGAGTTAAATTATGTATTCAAGGCAACAGTGGTGAATGGCACAGCTTCAGCTAGAGCCCAAGTGTTCTGAGGGCAGTTTCTTCACTACACCATTTTATCTATACTGTACCGTACAGAATTCATGAGGAAACGTAGCCATATGGTCCTATGCCTGTGTTTGTTGTAATGAATGGTCACTCACCTTCGTCCAGAAATGTGGAATCACCCTACCAGTTGGAGTTCTTGCTCTTTACACTTTGGGTTTGAATCAAATTCATGTCAGAGAATCTCACTTTCCCTCTTGCTGTCCTGATGTCTGTAACACCAAGCACAGGGAACAGTTCCTTTTTCTTCTCTTTTGTTATCCACTTTGTGAAAGACATCTTTTTCTCCCACATCTCTGCTGTCTATTTATCTTCCCTGCTTCTTTGTTCATCTTCTAATCCCTTCCCTATTTGGGGACTTCTTAAAATGAGAATGAAGTGGCCCTATACTATCAAATACCAAGACTTAAAGTAAATTATAAATTCTTGATTTTTTTTGGCTTAATTTTATTTAATTTTCTGTGTCTTAGTATTACTTTATTTTGGTTTTCTCTGTTGCAGACTTAAAATGGTTTTTCATTTGCCTTATGAATTGTAGACATTTATAAGCTATTTTATCCTAGAAACAGAAATGTGCCTTCCCTGAGTTACAATTAAATTTCAGTAATTTACCACTATTTCAGTAAATTTTCACCATTAAGACTTGAAAACATCATTTAAAATTTAGTACATCAGAAGTTTCAATAATTCATTCTACATTCTGTATTTTTAAAATTTATATTTACTATTATTATTGTATCTTAAACTTCTTGTAAGAAGGAATAACCTTATTTCTGTGTATTTTTTATATAGTATTAAATATTCACTGAGTCCAGATTGAGGATAGATGGATAGATTATAACATATGAGGGATAAGTAATGAATGCTTTGTATACTCCCCCAGAATCTGTTGTATTGCTTTGAGTAAAGAACTGAAAATACTACTTCTAAAATGCAGTATCTAATTTGTTGCAAAACGGTAATCAAATTTATATGTAACAGACTTTTAAAATACTAGCTTATAGTATTTTTCAGCTATTTCCTTTATGAAAGATGATTTTACCTAATTTTAGTACTCAGTTAATTAAAGAAAAGATCACCAATCAGTAAATCAAAAATCATCTGAGTTTTATTTGGCTAGGTGGATTTCCAAACCAGTTTCTGCAATCATCCCTTCCAGCAGAAAGGTGGTGCCATCACCCTACTCTCCTGAAGAGAATTTGCTCAGCACATCTTCCTTCTTCCTATTCTGATTTTGGAAGCTTTAGCAATTTTTGGAAAATGTCAAGTTGCTGTATTTAACTAAGGGTTTAGCAGAATGAGGTAGTGATGATCTAAAATCATGAAGGGGTCTCCCCTCCTCATTCTTTTCTACACTACAGACATATTTCCATAGAGTCTTACAAATGTATTATTTTGTATCATTAGCAAGAAGAACATCGTTTCTAGAAAAAAAAGCTTAAAGAAATGTTCTGTTCTTGGTGACTTCATTGCATTGACTTGTATGACAACTAACACTGTCATTACCACCATTACTGTTATGTTAGTCTATCCAGTTACATAAGAATACTCTCAACTATGTGAAGAAAAAACTTAGCCTGAAATAACCACTAACTCAAGATTTATAGAAAAGATTGGTATCTTATGAGCCCAGAAAAGGACTCCTTAAATTTAAAAAAGTTCTTTATCTGCTTCAGACATTCAGTGAATATTCAAAATATACTAAGTTTTAAGGGACATATCAGAAGGAAGAATATCAAGTTGCTTAAGTTTTGAAGGATAGCTAAGACGTGAGCATATTTCTGAAATTTTAAACATTTAAAAAGTACATTTTGACATTTGGAAATAAAGTTATACTATACTTGTCATGTACGTTTGATGTGCAACTATCCCTTCCCCCAACACAAAACTATTAGGATCTGAGAATTAGAAAATGTAGAAGCTTTAATATAAATTAGGAGTGGTAAATGCCATGAGAGAGGAACAGAGAAAGTGTGTGGACCTTCCAAAAAGGAAGTGATTATTTCTGGCTCTCAAGATCAGAGACTTCATGGATGAACAGAACATTTTTTCAGAACATTTAAGACATTTCAAGTGGTGAAAGGTGTTCTAAACAAATGTAGAATTTAGCACAAAGAAACTGGGATTAGCAAGCTCAGGCTAAGGAAAAAGTGATGACCTAGCACTGGCCTGAGAGTGCAGTACTGATGCAGAGTTAAGAGGAGGAAATGCTGACTTTCTGAAGCCAAAGGAAGCCACGGAAGCTCCTGGAAGGCCCCAGGGAAAGGGAAGAGACATAATAAAAGTCCTGCTTCAAATAGATTTGTCTAACAGCAGTGCCTATGAGGGACTGAATGTGGAAACAACTGGAGCAGAGAAGACCGAGTAAAAGTCCTCGTACATACTCTGGACAGGAATCATTAGGACCTGGACTGAGGAGAAGGGACATGGCTATGCCATTAACAGACATAGGAAGCACTACAAAAAGAGTAGGTTTGAGAGTCAAGTTTGAAAGGCACATTTCTAATTTAGGTTGTATAAAAATCAGGAAATTAGTGTCAATGTTCTCATAACTAGATGTAGTTACATGTGAATAGTACAGGTGGCTAGATGGCAGGAAGTAAATATGACATCATAGAAGAGTTGACATAGATTTAATGAACCATTATTCTAGCTGTATAATTTTTTAAAACATTTGCCAGCCTATGTTATATGTTTTTTATAGAAATATATATTTATGAGAGTGTTGTGATTTGTTTCAGGTGTGTGTATCACATTTTAGCCTAGTGTTATGGAGAGAAGAAGAGAAATCTGGGAAATGCGATTGCTAGCCTACAACCTTGTTAGGGTTTGGTTCTTAAATGTCCTCCCTCCTCCAAAGGCCAGCCTGTGGCACTATTGAGAGTGGAACCTTTAAGAGGTGGGGCCTATTGTGAGGAAACTAGATCACTGAGGATGTATCTTTGGATATTGGGCCCCTAGCTTCTTTCTGTCTTTTTTTTTTGTCTTCCTGACCTCCAGGGGGTAAACAAGTTTCCTGTACTACAGACTGCTGCTGTGATATACTGCTTTACCACAGGCCCAAAAGCCTGTGACCAAGTGACCATGGACTGAAATCTCTGAAACTGTAGGCCAAAATAAACCTTTTCTCCTTTTAAGTTGTTTCTCTCATGTGTTTTGTCACTGCAGTGAAACATAGACTAGCACGACCTATAGGTCAAGGAACAGTTTATTGTAAGTTTTTCAGAGAGAAACATTTTGATAAATTTGAATAATTGTAAACTTCTTTCTTTAGGGTTAATGCATTATTAGTCCCTTTCACTAAAACAATACATTGACACTGGATCAGAGTTTATTGACACTGGACCAGTGTATCTGGTCCCTGGCTTATAATGGTTTTACTTATGATTTTTTCTGACTGTATGATGGTATAAAAGGGATACACACCGAGTAGAGATTTTGAATCTTGATCTGCTCTTGGCCTAGCAATATACAATGTGATACATTCTCATGATTCTGGGCAGCAGCCATGATCCACAACTAACAGTCAGTTTCATAGTCTTGAGAGGAGACCACTGATACTATTTTCTATAAAATACTGTTTTTGATAAATTATGTGAGGTATTCAATACATTATTTATAGGGCAGGCTTTATGTTAGATGATTTGGCCAAGTATAAGCTAATGTTAAATATCCTGAACTTATTTAAAGTAGGCTAGGATAGACTGTCATGTTCAGTAGATTAAGTGTATTAAATGAATCTTTGACCTCCATCTGATATGTTTGGTTTACAATGGATTTATCAGGACATAGCACCATTGTAGTCAAGGAGCATCTGTACATGCCAGACCCTGTTATAGCCCTAAGGATACAGCTGTGAATAAAACACAGTCCCTGCCCTCTTGGAACCTACCTAGTAATAAGGAAGACTTTTAAAAATAATGATATTTAAAAATATTTTATTCTCCAATCAAGAAATACCTTGTCTACTCACTTGTGCAATAATTTTTACATTGTGGTTGTGTGTTAAATATGAAAATGAAATACATTGACTCAAATACAAAAATGTTTCTTTTCAGATGATGTATTCATATTTTGTTTGCTTACCAATAGGGAGCAGATTGTTAAACAGTCTACAGAGTTGGTCTGCAGAGCCTATGGTGAAGTGTATGCAGCTGTGATGAACCCAGCCAACGAATACAAAGATCCAGAGACCATTCTGCACAGGCCGCCCCAGCAAGTGCAGACGCTGCTCTCCTGATGGTGTTAGCAAAATACCACTTCCCTAAAACACTGAAAGTTGTTTGGATTTTTAGTCTATTAATCTTTACTTTGAGATTTGAGGTTACAGTTTTCTTTGTATTACAAGATTGTAGGTCTCAGTAATTTTGTTCATTCTCAATGATACAGAAATAAGTCATTGTTGACATGAATTAGTACTGTTCTATATCTGCTCTCTGGATGGCAATATTCTCTTTGTTAGCCACCTGTCCAACTGCAATTTTCCCGTTACTCTGGGACATAGATGTATGGCAAAAAGTAGTATGAAAGGCTTGAGGGACTTTTATACAAGGCTAGTTATAAATTAACATCATAAAATTTTGTCTAAACTGAAGAATTAATAAATGTTTCTTTAGCTGAAGATTCATTTACTTTCTTATGCATTACAGTGCAAGAAGGCATACTGATTAGCTTGTTTTTCTCTTAACCTACTCTATGTCTCTGTCCTCAGACTAACTGTCCTAATAGGGTTGTTAGAAGAGAGAAAAGCAACTGGATTGTGCTGCTGGTGTACAGAACAGTGATCTCCTTTCTGTTGTATGTTCACTTACAGTATATCATTGGTTACTGGTTTTAAATATACATTCAGCCAAAACAGGGAGAAAAATAATTTAAATAGGGGGATTCCACTCTATGGAAGTCAAAGTGACTCAGTGATTCAGTGAGTTTTAGGTGTTAAGACAACCTGAGGTAAGCATACAAAGCCCATGACTAAAGGCTAGTATTCGTTGTGCATCATAAATCCAAACAACTATGAAGTTTCCCCAGTGTTGAAACTAACATGAATTCTTTTAGAGTAAAAGTGATGTATGTCATCCGTTTTGGTGTAAATCTGTAATTTTAGTCTTTTCCCTTCAATGAATATGTGTGATATATAGCAAAAATAAAGTATAATACAGGTAGGAGCTGAAATTTTACATAATTTATTTCTTCTATGAGAAAATATTGATACCTTACCATTAGTGAATTCCTTTGTTTTCTAGGGAAAAAATGTATTTTGTTTTTTACCTGGTTTTCTTAAATAAATATTAAACTGTTTCTAGTAGTAATCTTTGCAGTATTTTTTATGTATCTCAAAGATTTGTTTTTGGAAAATTTCCTAATAAAAAAGGAGTACAATGTAGGGCATAACTGAGACAAGCAGTCAGAATGTGGTGTCATAAAACCTTGAGAGTCAAGATGGTAAGTAAGTGGCTATAGGCAGTAACCATTAGTATAGCATTCAGATTTGCTACATACATCACACTTTGCATTGGATTGTTTTTATTTGGTGTAAATAAAACCTCATTAAATTAAAGATGATCTAAATAAATGGAAACATATGACAGTTCAGAGACTAAATAGACTGAAAATGGCAAATTCCCTAAATTGATCTACTGATTCAACACAATCCCTGTAAAAATTTCATGTACCTTTTTTCTTTCAGGAATGTAAATGTTGATCCTAAAATTTTTACAGACATGCAGAGGACTTTGAATAGCCAAAACAATCTTGAAACTTCTTAGTTTCAAAATCTGCTACAATTACGCAGTAATCAAAACATGTGATACTGGAGTAGGGATGGACATACACAGATGCTTGGTTACATCCTGATAAACCTCATGTAAGTTGAAAATATTATTAAGTCACAAATGCACTTACTACACCTGATCTGCTGAGCATCAGAGCTTAGTGGCGCAGCACACTGTAGAGTGCCTGGTCACGCTCATGATCGCATGGCTGATGGAGCTCCGCTAGCTACTGCTGTCCAGTATTGACAGACTGTCGTACAGCACATAGTTAGCCTAGGAAGAGATCAAAATTTGAAGTACAGCTTCTGCAAAGTGCATAGTACTTTCCTACCATCATAAAGTCAATACATGGTAAGTGGACATGTTTAAGTCAGGAACTGTTTGTTGTTCAATGGAATAGCATTTAATAGAAATAAATGCTATTTATTTCTCAGTTTATTTATTTTTTAACAAGGTTCCAAGACCAATGGCAGAAAGAATAGGGTACTTAGCAAATGGAGTTAAAACAGCTGTAAATCCATACCTGTCTCATACCATATTAAAAAATGAACTCAAGAAGTTTGGCCTTTTCATTGAAAAAATGAATGCAAGATGGATGAAAAACCTAAATGGAAGAGCCACAACTATAAAACCTTCAAAAAAATAGGTGCAAATCATTGTGGTCTTTTATATTAGCAAGAATTTCTTTTAAAACGATACCCAAATCATAAGCACCCAGGGAAAAAATTGAATTTGGCCAAAACTTTTAAATTTGTGCATTAAAGGACACTATCAAAAAAATGAAATGACACCCTACACAGTGGGAGAAAATATTTCTAAGTCATCTGTCTGACAAGGGTCAAGTATCCAGATATGTAGCTTCAGAATGTAACTCTTAAAGCTCAAAAATGAAAAGCTGAATTTTTAAATATGCAAAGGATTTCTCCAAAAAAGATATGCGATAAACAAAGAGTTCTTCAACATCATTAGGGAAATGCCAGTCAAAACCAAAATTTGCTATTACTTCACTCATAATGATGTGAATGATGGCTAGTCATCATTAGCAACACCACCAACAACAGGTGTTGGCGAGGACGCAGGGAAAAAGGAACCCTCTTACACTGCTGGTGGGAATGTAAACTAGTACAACCACTCTGGAAAAAAATTTGGAGGCTACTTAAAAAGCTAGACATCGATCTACCATTTGATCCAGCAATACCACTCTTGGGGATATACCCAAAAGACTGTGACACAGGTTACTCCAGAGGCACCTGCACACCCATGTTTATTTCAGCACTATTCACAATAGCCAAGTTATGGAAACAGCCAAGATGCCCCACCACTGACGAATGGATCAAGAAAATGTGGTATCTATACACAATGGAATTTTATGCAGCCATGAAGAAGAACGAAATGCTATCATTCGCTGGTAAATGGATGGAATTGGAGAACATCATTCTGAGTGAGGTTAGCCTGGCCCAAAAGACCAAAAATCGTATGTTCTCCCTCATATGGGGACATTAGATCAAGGGCAAACACAACAATGGGATTGGACTTTGAGCACATGATAAAAGCTTTAGCACACAAGGGAGGGGTGAGGATAGGTAAGACACCTAAAAAACTAGCTAGCATTTGTTGCCTTTAACGCAGAGAAACTAAAAGCAGATACCTTAAAAGCAACTGAGGCCAATAGGAAAAGGGGAGCAGGAACTACAGAAAAGGTTAGATTAAAAAGAATTAACCTAGAAGGTAACACCCACGCAGGAAATCAATGTGAGTCAATCCCTGTATAGCTATCCTTATCTCAACCAGCAAAAACCCTTGTTCCTTCCTATTATTGCTTATACTCTCTCTACAACAAAATTAGAAATAAGGGCAAAATAGTTTCTGCTGGGTATTGGGGGGTGGGGGGAGAGGAGGGGTGGAGTGGTGGTAAGGGAGGTGGTGGGGCAGGGGGGAGAAATGACCCAAGCCTTTTATGCACATATGAATAATAAAAGAAAAAAAATTTAAAAAAAGAGAAAAAAATAATTTTAAAAGACAGTAAACAAGTTGGTATAGATGCAGAGAAATTGATATCA